ATGCTGAGGGTGAATTCATAAAAATGAACTCAGATTAAAGGGCTAAATTCCTAAAGAAATAAAACAATGACCAAAAGGAACTATGAGATATTCTTCATATCTCTGCAACTCTTTCTTGGCAATGCTAGTGATGGCAATGCTTTTCCTTTCCAGATAAATGTTCTTACCAGGCTTTTGAAGGTTACCCTTGTGCCAGTCATAGCTAACTGTGCTCATCCTCTTTCAACCACATCTTGGAGCACCTGAGGAGGGAGACAAGCTGACTTGGACAGGGTTCTTTCCAGTAGCAATGACTTCCTGGTGAGCCATTTACTTGTGCCCATGGAATGCTCTGTGTGGCCTTTCCTAAATTTTTTTTCCCCTATTTCCTCTGCTGCCTGCAAGCACTTTGGGTTTTAATTACCTGGAAATTTGCCCTATTTCTCTATGTTTCCCTTCATGTCAACATTCTTTTTTTAAAAAAAATTTTTTTAAATATTTTTTTTAGTTGTCAATGGACCTATATTTTATTTATTGATATGCGGTGCTGAGAATCGGACCCAGTGCCTCACACATGCTAGGCAAGCACTCTGCCACTGAGCCACAACCCCAGCCCCTAAAAAAATTTTTAATTTTTAGGTGGACACAAAAATATCTTTATTTTACATTTTGGTTCTCAGGATTGAATCCAGTGCCTGATGCATCATGCTAGGCGAGCACTTTACCACTGAGCCACAACTCCAGCCCCCATGTCAACATTCTTAAAGAGCTACACCTATCAATTGGGAGAACTTCCTGAAAGCTAGAACATTCCTCATGTTTCTGGATATTTACCAGTCTGCTTTTTAGACCCTGCTCTCCACAGGACCAGTAATTAACAAGGTCCCTGAGGACTTTGAGCTAGCAAACAAGAACACATTTCTCCACCCTGTCTGTTATCTTAGAGCTTGCAGAAAACAGCTTCACAGTGTCTTAATTAAGGAGATAACAACAGGGAGGAAGAAGACAAGCTAGAGAGGTAAACAATAAATTGTTTCTCAACCTACCTCCCAAGATCACCTCTTAGACTTCACCATCAATCTTGATTCATTTAGATCCATATATATGGATTATCCACTATATATAATTTGTAATAGATCTACATATTTTTGTCCTTCCTCTTGCTATCTGCTCTGGTTAACGCATAGCTAAAAAGTTCTCAACCATCTACAAGCTTACCTGGACAGACCTTTTATTCATGTTGGAAATATCATCTTTCTCTGACAAAGTGCACGTACTCCAGAAGAGTAGGAAGCAGATGCAACAGGAAATAGCTTACAGGAGGAATTGACCAGCAATGACCTCTAATTCCTGACCACAAATCAATAGAACAATGGTCCAATCTTCTAATCTTCATAATTGCCTTTTGGTTTGATTAGGTTGAGACTTGGACTTATCTTGGGATGAACATAACTAGCTCCTAGAGCAATTTAGCTTGACTATCTTAGAAGCTAAACCAAATACTAAAATGATCAAATAGGATGGCCAGTCTCCAGAGCTTGGAAAACAACCAGTGACCCACCATTAAAGCAAGTTTCCCAAGAGTTTCCATGATAAGGGTTGAGTCTCCTTAAGAACAAGGACTTAGTGTCACTCATCTTTGAGTCCCTGAGGAGGGGGTGCCTGACACAGAGAAGGTATCAGCTACTTCCTGGGACCCAAACTGCATAAACAGACAAAAGTGACAACAAGATTCTTAAGCAACTATCTGAACTGGCTAACGTGAAAAAATTCCAAATAAAGTTTGAATAAAGCAAAGGAGGAGAAGCAAAGGGGGTGGGGAAGAGGGGACATGATGGAGATAAAATCAGTTCTTGTTATTCACAGTCATCATGATCTATAAAGTCACTGTGAACACTGGGTTAGTGAATATTGGGGGGAAACACTGGGTTAGGTGCTGGTCACATTTTCATCAACTGAAGAACCTTGATTTATATGTACTTTCTGTCTAAAGGTGCCTTACTTAATATACAGTTGATTTATTAATACTGAACCAACATTCAACAGCTCATGTCTGAARGAAGCTTGTCTAACATAAAGTGATCTTTCCTTAGGACACTTCATGGTTTTCTTGTGCTTAAAAATACTTAGCAGCACTTCAGCGCTGTGTGTGGGAACCATTTAAAGTCTTGAAATCACCAAAAACAAAGAATTCAAAAAGGTATAGCACTAAGTGAATTGCTAAAACAAACAAACAAACAAACAAACAAACAAAACCCCACTTGTTTATAGTATGAGAACTGAAATAGCATCAGGTGACTCATTTCTGCACAAGTCCATAAGTGCCATAAAAGTACTTCAAGTACTGATTATGATAACTTGTTAGCAAGTGGGCAAATTTTCAAGCACAAACCTACAAATAAGGAAGATCAACTATATGTATATCTGTGTGTTTGTGTGCTTATTTATTTACTTTTATTTGTAGATCAAACAATGTTCAAGACAAACTCAAAGATGTTGGCTATTTATTTATTTTGGTGTTACTGGGAATTAAGTCCCAGGGTGCTCTACCACTGAGCTACATCTCCAGCCCCCTTCTTTGTATTTTTTGAGACAGGGTCTAAGTTGCTGAGGCTTGCCTTGAACTTATTATCCTTCCACCTCAGCCTCCCAAGTTGCTGGATTACAGGCATGAGCCACCGTGCCCAGCAAGAGATGTTGTTGCCTCTTTAAAAAGTGCAGCCTGGCTCAGTCATCAAGACAGGGAGAGTGAAGCTAGAAGGTAAGTAGAAGAGTAACAAGACAAAAGCAATTTGCTCCCCACAATGGAAGCCCCTGAAAGCAGTGGTGGTAGTAATCAGCTAGCAGCAGACCCTAAGGGGTCCAGTCTATAAGGGCTKGGGGGGTTATGGTAGCATCATGTGCTCTCAAGCAAAACAATTGTATTGTTGATTTATAGTGACATGCATGTGATGCATGTGCAAATGTACCACCCCTGTCCATTCTGCCATCTCCCACACTTGGCCTTGGGCATGTCAGGACCAATCCTCTCACCATTTGGAGGCCTCACACAGTCCTATTCTGAGGCTCCTGCATCCAGTGTTCTATCCCAGGGCAGCAACCACAGGTATACAGGAGTTAGAGCTACCTTAGTGAGGAACAGACCTCCAATATGTCATAATCCAACAAGTGATCACCTATGGGCTCCATTTTGAGAGCTGGATCCCAGGGGAAGACAGAGATGGAAAGAGTCAGGTGATTTGGGGGTAGAAGCTTCATAAATTAACCAAGCAGCCCAAATAACTATTGGGGACATTTTCTTTACAGACTGGTGACATATGCTATTTGATGAGAATCTCCATTTTGGCAGCTCCTACCCAATGTCCTTTCAAATCTGGTGAAGAAGTGAGTGAAAACAAACAAAACACAAGGAGCATGGCCAGAGAATGAATGGCCATGGAGACCTTAGTGGATGCTTAAGGGCATCGGTATTGGCTCATCAGGCTCAAAAATTATATCCTTATATTGAGATTCATATTTTTCAAAGCACTTTTATATAGGTCATCTCATTAATTTCCAGATTAAATTTGTATCATTGAGGGGTCAGATATTAATACACATATATAATCAGTTAACTGAAACACAGGGAAGTCAAGTTATCTGAGCAAGGACATACAATGAATGGCACCAGCCAGCCCTGCAGCCCATGATTTCCTGACTGACTGCATGCCAGGAAGTGGCTCTCAAGTGTGGACCTAGACTCCTCGGTTATCTCTTCCAAGGCAGTCCCCCCCATTCACAGCACCTGGCAGGAAGGGGTCTAAGTAGTACCTAGTATAAAGGGCCCAAGCTCTGGAAGGCCCACCCTAGGGGAAGTATGGGCTTCAGCCCTAAGGACTGACAGATGTGGCAACAGGACCCAGAGCCAGTGATGCTGCTGGTCTGGTTCCCCGAGTTGGGGAACAGCCTGCCAGGAAGGCAAGCCGGCAACCTGTGCCAGGCCAAACAGGCAATTAGCACCCACAGAAACCCTGCTGCCCAGCGACTGCTCAGGGCCATGAAACCCTGGGCCTGCTGGTTCCTGGGCAGAGGGTAGGTGAGTGGGGAGCTGGAGGAGAGTCCCACACAAGGGCCCTGCACTTGGATTTACTCTGCCCCCAAGGTCAGGTGAGTTTGTCAGTTCAGGCAGGGGCCAGGTGGGCCTCAGAATCCTGTCCTTTTTCCAGAATCGATTTGCTCTTGCCTCTCTTGGTGGTTAGAGCCCCGTTCTCCTCTTTACCCACCTCCAGTCAAGGTGATTTTCCTGGCTGTTGTTTTCTAATATTTGCCAAATGCTAATTTTTTATAGTTCCCACTTCCACCAAACAATCCATCACTTTCCCATCTTCCCTCTGTGCCTTTAGATAGAAGCATCCTTCAGTCTTCCTAGCACTTTCCCCAGATTGTCTGCATTTGTAATCCCGAGAAGAGCAGAGGCTGCTAGAAGAGACACCAGCCCTGATTGACCCAATTGGGAGTGCTGGTACATTCCTGGCACTGCCTAGACACTCAACCTGGGACAAGCCAGCCATGGATAAGGAGCTGGGTGCAAATCAGACACAGTGGCCCAGCCAGGGGTGCATTCTCCCTTGTTCCAAGGAACAGTTTGGATTGGATGGGAAGGTAAGCTCTGAAGCCAAGCTCTGGGGCTTCCTCAAAGTCATTGTCTGACTTTTAGATTTGGAAGCTTCAATCCATCAACCAAGGAGAAGAAGGACAGACCCACATGAGTCAGTGCAGGTGTCTGGGTCAAGGGCTAGAGGACAGAAACACAACCATCTTAGGAAAGCAACTTCTGAGGGGGTTAAAGACCACAGCTGGAGCTGAGAGGAGGTGGGAAGAAGAAACCTCTCACCAAAGCCCTATTGCTACCAGTGACTGTGAGGGCTGGCATGTTCCATGGACACAATGAGGAAGGAGAATTGGAAAGTGCAGGGGTCCTCTTCAAGGGAAAATCTTGCTCATCTTCTCTTGCCCTCAGGGGAACCTGGTAAGAGACTCACCTGAAGAAGCCTTTGCAGCCTTCACAGGTCATAGCATTGAAGTGGAAGCCTGTGGCTCGGTCTCCACACACCCCACAGATCCGGGGAACGTTCCGGTCAAAGTCACCAGGATCAGGCAGGGAAGTGCTGGCTGCCATCGCCTCCATCCCTGCAAGAATAGTAGTCAGGCCACAGCTAGGGTCAGAGTCAGTTCCAGGGCCAGCTGGCATCCTTTTGCATTGCCATCCTGCCAGAGAGCTCAGCAAAGCCTGGCAGCTCCCTGGGGCCCAAGACAGAGCGTGAGTTCTTCGGAGGTCTCACTGTGTGGCTTTCCTTCCCCAGCTAGCTCAGAGCAAGGCTGGGAATCAAACTGCCTGGGTTCAAATACTGTATCAGCAGGGCTCTTTCAGGTGAGGTACTCGGCCTCTTTATGGCCCCACAGTCTTCATCTAAAGGCATTTTACTTCATAGGGTGCACAGAAAGGTGACCCCAGTGAACACATACATGATGCTGGTACCAGCTGCACCTCAGTAGCAGATGCCCCCATCTTTCCCACTGTGCCCTTCAAGAGAAAAATGGGAGCCCCCTAATGCCCATCCCTGAACCCTTGTCATTCCAGATCTTGCTCCTTGTAGCATGTCCTGATATGAAGGTAAGAAAAATCTTTCCCCCTGTTTTTTTTTTTTTTGCAATAACATTTAACATTATATTGAACGTCCTTCTGAGTAATGTGAGTCATATACAATTAACTAATTTTGTTTTCAGAGATGGCTTTTATAAATAGGCACTATCATCTAGAGATGGATTTCACACTTGAGGAAAGGGGAGAGGGAACAAAATGTCACAACGCTGGGAAGCCCTTCTCAGGAAGTGGCTAACCACTCTTCCATTAGGCAGATTGGGCCCTTGGCTTCGCCTGCCACTTCCACGATCCAACCGCTGTTAGGCTCAGAGCCAATTCTGGGACACTAAGCCCTCCCAAAAATGCTTTCAGACTCTGCTACCTTCCAGTTTTCCCCATTATATCTTTTTTTTGGGGGGGGGAGAGGGGGATGGTACCAGGGATTGAAGCCAAGGGCACTTAACACTGAACCACACCCCAGCTCCTTTTTTAAAAAAAAATCTTGAGACAGGGTCTCACTAGATTTAGTACAGCTTCACTAAGTTGCTGAGGCTGGCTTTGAACTTGTGATCCTCCTACTTCAGCCTCCCAAGCTGCTGGGATTTTAGGCTTATGCCTCCGCTCTGGCTTCTCCATTTTATCTGAATCCTTATAAGGGACATCACAGGTTTAAGTGGCTCCTCTGCCCTAACACAAGAAGGTTACTCAGGATTAGAAAAAAAGTAAGAGAGAAAGCCAGAAAGAAGGGATGAGTATCCCTATCCCTACCCAGGCCACCATTTTTTCCCCATCCCCCAGGGGAAAGGGGTAGATTCTGGGTCTCTCAAGGTGGGGTGCTGAGCTGCTTTTCAATGACTAGTCTCTGAACCAGGTTTGGAATAGGAAGGCTCATTAGAGTCTAATTTCACTGCAAGACCCAAAGAAGCCCAGACCTGGAGGCATCTCCAGCAACTACTACCTACTGCCAAATGGACAAAACAAATCCATATTCTCTCTCTCTCTCTCTCTCTCTCTCTCTCTCTCTCTCTCTCTCTCTCTCTCTCAATTTTGCAAAGAGCTTTGCGCTCAGGGAAGGAAATTGGGCAGATAAGCAAGGATATGTCATTGTCAGTCCCAAAGGGATGGAGGGAATCCTGATCAGACTAACAACAATCCCTTAACCTGTTCTTTCAGCTTTTCTTTTTCTGGGAACTTTAATGTAATAATGATGACATTATTACCCATCCATTTTATAGTTAGATTTATACTTGTTAAACTCCTCTCTCTCTCTCTACTAAAACACAATGTCTAGTTTTATTTTATTATTTTATTTTTGGTATTAGGATTGAATCCAGGGCACTTTACCACTGAGCTATGTATCCAGCTCATTTTATTGTTTTATTTTGAGTCAGGGCCTCACTAAGTTGCTTAGGGCCTTGTTAAATTGCTGAAACTGGCCTCAARTTTGGGATCCTCCTGTCTCAGCCTCCTGAGTCATTAGAATTACAGGTTTATGCCACTGTGCCTAGCAATATCTATGCCATATATGCCCATCTACATATACATAAAATATTTTTAAATTTTAAAACAATTAAAAATAAAAGAAAAATTGCCTCTGGGTCAGTCAACAACATCCCCATAGACTACTCCAAGTCCAAGCTGACTTCTGTAAGTTTCTGGGACATAACAGGCATCCAAGAGGTAGGCAGGGATCCCAGAGCCCGGTACCACAGTGGGGTAATAGGAGAAATTGTCTAGGATGCTTGTGGCTTAACTTTGGTCGACTGACATGAAGAAGCTCAGAATCATCAGGATGTTGCTACAGAGTCTGGGTCATCCAGATTCCCCAACATCTGGTGGATTTGGTGAAAACAAAAAAAAAAAAATAGGAGGTGGAGAGGTACATTAGCCAAATCATTTCAACAAGGGTTCAGCAGCACATGGCCTCATTGGAGACATTATGACACAAGCGAGTTGGAACTTTACAATGCCATGGTATGTCAAGCTGCAGTCCTGCAGGGGCTGAGGCACTGTCTGAGAGTCAGGAGGTCTCCTGGCATGGGGGCAAGGGCCTAGGCACTAGGCTAGGTTGCACAGAAAGGCTGGATCAGCTGCTAGAGAGCCACAGTGATTAGGACCATTTCAACACAGCTGAGAGTAGCCCCAGCCCTGCTTGGGGTTACTTGCTGCCATAGAAAGCCAGCGCCCAAGGCCTGAGTCCAGGTGTGAAGGGGCCCAGAGTTCTGTGGCTTGAGAACTTAAAGTACCAGAAGAGATAGGCAGAGACTAAAGGGGGCAGGAAAAAGAGGAGATAGAAACTGGCTAGGAAATGTCAAACATAGATGCCCTGGGGTTCCCCTCCTTGCCAAGCCACTCTCTGAACTGCCACCACACCCCATGTGCTTGTAGGTCTCAGCTGCACATTCTGTTGACCCCCATTTGCAAAGGCCCAGACAGTATACTCCCTTCCTTCCTCCCCACCCCCTTCCTATAACATATCCCTGCACCTTGAAAACAGCAAGCCAGGGAGGTTGCAGCTGATGAGGCCATACCTACCTGAAAGAGCAGGGAGCAGGTTCGTGGAGCCCAAGAGTACTCCTCTGTGAGGTCTCACAGATGCGTCCAACCAAGGACCCTAAAATGAAAAAGGGGAGACATTTTATCTAGTCTTGTGCTAATCTCCCAGGCAGTCTTCCAAGGAGCACAAGGTTCAAGATTCTTTCCAGGGACGTTAGGCCTCAAAACAGGGACTGAAAACTTGGGACTGACATGGGAGCAGGTATGCCATGTTGTCATTGGAAGAGGTGATGGGGTGGGAGGTGAGTGGCAACCAGAGGCAGGGAGCAGCATGAAGGAGTGGGAAGGGTTGAGAGTGGCAACTAGAACTGGGCAGATGTGGACTGGGGATGTAGCTCAGTGATAGAGCACTTGCCTGCATGCGTGAGGTCCTGGGTTTAATCCCTAGCACCCACAATAAATAAATAAATAATCAAACAAACAAATAAATGAATGAATGAATGAACAAACTGGGCAAATGCAAACAGCTCCCCCCCCCCGCTTAGGCCCTCCTCCTCAACTCATAGCTAAGGGAGGAAGGACCTTTTTCTAAAGGAGATCTGTTCATTCCACTGCTCCCATCCCTAGGTTTTGAGGATGCCCTGAGAAGCAGAGCTGTAGGGTGGCCTGGCACACTGCTGAGAGGGGGAAGGAGATTGTTCCCCAAGCAGGATGGCAGAGGACTCTCCAGAAGCTTGGAACCACTAGGGCTGAGATGGCTGCCCGGGGTCCTGGCCTCTTGGGATGGCTTCAAAGGAGCCAACTGTCTGTGGAGCCTGGGTGTAGGCGGAGCAGATGCTGCAGGGGTTAAAAACAGCAACATATTGCTTTCAAACAGGATGTTTCCTGCTACTTTTAGCTCTTTCCCAGACATGCCTAACACTCCAGCCTTAGTAAAGGCTGAGGGAGGGCTGATTCTGGTGCCCAGACTCTGGGTCTTAGTGGCATGACAAGTCACCAAGGTGGAGCTGGCAGAATTTCATCCTCCCCACTTCTACCCATGAGATAGACAGATAGATACGTGCGTGTGTGTGCGCGTGCACACACACACACACACACACACACACACACACACTTCCTCCCTTTCTTGATATATTACTGGGGAAATACATAGCTATGTAGTTACCCAACCCTGAACCCTGGCAAAGGCCTTTGAGCCAAACAACAGGTGGGGAGGTCTTGTCACTCAGGTTTTGCTTCCCTTCAGAGACCCCTGTCTCCTAGTGACCTGACTAGACAGGGAAGGGGAGAGCTCCAAGGGGCTTCCAAGACTTGGGGACAATCCTAGAACTGCTAGCCACTGAGCCCATTTTCCACCTGTCAGGTACTGCCAGCCCCCAGGGAACACCCAAGGAAAATGCCAGTGGAGCCCAGGAGTACTCCTCTGTGAGGATGACTGATGAGCTGAGTGGGTGGGATTACTACTTCCCAGGGCCATGGGTGGTGGGAGGTATGCCTGCTAGGGACATGCTCTCCTTTGCTTCCTCTGCTCACATGACCCATGTCCCCTGGCTGACCATGCTCTTCTGGATTCTACTCAATAGCCTTATGGATTTCTTGGGCTCTCTACCCAATTGGAAGACTGGGGTGAGAACAAAGTGGGAACAAAGAGGACCACTGCTTTCCTGTCCTCAGATCCTAAGGTTTTCAGAGGTCAGAGGTGATAACTACTCTTGAACTTAAAAAAAAAAAAAAGTTACAAAGTATCCACAGTGTGCCTGCCAAGCCTGCTAAGTGCTGCACCCTTTATTACAATTAACGCTTACAACAGTTCTGGGAGGTGCAGAGTAGTCCCATTTCAAAGGCGGCAAAATCAAAGTTTGGGGCACTTTGAGTGACTTGCCAGTCCCAGGGCCAGGCAAATGGTGGTACCAGGCAAGGCCAAATGAGGGCAGGCTGATGGTAACACCCAAGTTCTTCCTTGGCCTCCCATTTCCATCGATAATCATCAGAGCAGGCACCTATTGCTCTGTACTGGGTCCTGCTCCAAGTTCTTCATGCATACTTACTC